CCCCCCCCCCCCTTCCCCAATCCCTGAATCCCCAACAATCCACAAATTCTTAGTCCCAAAAGGCCGGTAACTCACTTGTAACTCCTCGGATGTTCCATGTGTCCATGGGTGACGCCGATTGCTTACCATCAGGTGATCCGTCTGCTCGTTTACCGGCTTATGCCATAAAAAAATACTCGACAGTGGATTTCCTGCCCGGTCTCTGTCAAATGTTACCCTTAGTAGGGTATACCACACCCGCGGGAAGAGTAGCGATGGCGACAAATATACACTCATCTCATACGTATCACCATTTAAACAATTTTGAACCTTACCTAGGAGTAATACTGTTCAATCTATCTTCATCAACGGTCTCAGTCATTTTGATCAGAGTATCAGGATCGATTGGTGATTTGTAAAAATCTTCCAAGACCTCTGTATCGATGAGGTTGTCGCAGGCGTAGGAGTATGCTGTGGACACGTGGACGTAGGACCTGCGAACATTAATAACAAAGACTGTACCATGTAACACCCACTTTTCACTATTTATGTTATGAGTCCCATGTAATAGGGGGTGAGCCTATTGGCATATACCGGACACGATTCCAAACTCCGTGCTACTACTGAGAATTGTTTAAAAACCCAGTAATACTTTGCCCGACCCGAGAATCGAACCCGAGACCCCTTGCCCGGCAGTCGCACTTGAGACCACTCGGCCAACGAGGCAGTCACTAGTTTATTATTTATTTATTAATAATAAAACAATATATAAATATTTTGACTTTTGGATCTTCTATATTAAAATTATTATTTATAATGATAATGGATATGATTAATTTTAAATACATATATGTCGGAATACTCAAACGCTACTCAATTTTAAGTCGTGCTTAAGTATAGTTCTATCTCTACAAATTCTTAGTAAAATGACAGAGATGGCACGATATTCGAGCACGACTTAAAATTGAGTAACGTTTCAGTATTCCGGCAATAGTGTGCTAAACAGATATTTTTGTTGACTATGATAGAAAATGATAAAGTCAAAGTCAAAGCATTTATTTCAATTAAACCATAGTTTGCTACTTTTGAAACGTCAATAAATACAAAATAAATAATAGTCTTTCAGTCAGTCCGTCAGTGAAACTAGGTGAAGCTAGGTGCTCATTCCAAAATGTAGATTCGAATGGAGAAGAACGAGCAAGAAACTCCATGATAGATTCAATAAATTAACTTACTTCAATTGTTTGCAAGCCTTGCCAAGAACGAGAGCTTCCTTCGCACCTCGTACGTTGATCATTGTAGCTACACGAAGCGTCTCATCAAACCTAGTCGTGGCTGCCATGTGGAATATTATGTTCACCTGTAAAAATGGTGAAACAAGTGAAACAAGTGAATCTGCAAATAGGCTACAAAGCAGCACTTTTACACGTCAATTTTATCAAGCGAACGATGAGGTTAGGGTTGCCACCTTTTTTTTTGTATTTAAAGTACATTGACAATTATAGGTTGGAAAAAAGTACACATTAATAAGTACAATTTATTCTTATTAAAAATATATTTTTTATTGCTTTTTGCAGTTTGTATTAAATTAGTATCTCTAGTAAACAATTGCATTGAAATACTAAACAATTGCATCTTTACTAGAAATTGTCTAAATGACGTTGGCGAGTGGCGAAATCGATTTATATCGATATCGAATCGATAAGTTTACCGAAAAATACATAATATGAAGTTTGCAAAAATAAAGTATTTTCGTGTACTTCATTATTCTCACAAAGTATAGAGTACAATTACCTTGAATAACGTACAATACTTTAATATAAAGTACGGGTGGCAACCCTAGATGAGGTCGACATTTCCTAACTGACTACTCTGAGAAGAAATGCCGAAACAAACTCAAAGGTCCAGGTTTATCAGAGAGCGCTGCTGCCCGGTCTCTGTCTAATGTGTAGTCCCTTAGTCGGGTATACGACACCCGCGGGAAGAGTAGCGGTGGTGACAACTATATTCTACTTGCCGTCTCCACACGGTTAGCTTAGCACATAAACATAACATAACATCACGCCTTTTATCCCCGAAGGGGTAGGCAGAGGCGCACATTATGCCACTATACAATGTAACACCCACTACTCATTATTTATGTTATGAGTCCCATGTAATAGGGAGTGAGCCTATTGCCGTCGCTAGCTAAAAGTATCAATGATTAAAATACCTCTTCTGTAAGCGTCTTCCAATCCTTGTCGCTTATGCCGAGCTTGATTTCAGCGACATCACCAGCTACTGGTACGATCTTCTTCAATACTTTAGGTCGATGCTCTTTGACCCAGTCGAAAACCTGAAACAGAATTATTTATTTATTTAATGCACTAACAACTACCATTACAGATACATTCCAATACGATAGTGTAGCCTATTACCTAATTATAATGAAATTAAAACTTAACACTTATACATACCTATACCTATACTATACAATAAAGTTTCCCATACAAATTTAACATTCCCAACTACTGAGTAACTGAATCATAAAAACCAAATTCTTATATGAAACACTTAAAATTAAATACTCACAATGAATCATAAACGATATTTTACTTAACACCTATTCAGTATCTACTTACTAACATAAACTATTATTAAAATAACAAAACAAAGAAAATAACTGAGACTTTTTTGAGAGAGTAAACAATTTTGAGATCGGAAATTCTATTAGATTAGATTACGATTCAAAGTCAAAGTCAAAAACATTAATTTCAACTAGACCAGAAAGGCACTATTGAACGTCAACAGAAAAATTAAACACAACATCAACATCACGCTTTTTATCCCCGAATGGGTAGGCAAAGGTGTACATTATGCCAATGCAATGTAACACCCACTTTTCACTATTTATGTTATGAGTCCCATGTAATAGGGGGTGAGCCTATTGCCATATACCGGGCACAATTCCATACTCCGTGCTACTACTGAGAATTTATAAAATACCCATTAGTACTTTGCCCGACCCGGGAATCAAACCCGAGACCCCTTGCCCGGCAGTCGCACTTGCGACCACTCGGCCAACGAGGCAGTCATCATGTATGTCCGTATGTATGCTTAGATCTTTAAAACTACGCAACGGATTTTGATGCGGTTTTTTTTAATAGATAGAGTGATTCTTAAGGAAGGTTTGTATGTATAATACATGCATATTGCACCCGTGCGAAGCCGGGGCGGGTCGCTAGTTAAAATTAAAAGTGAAGTTATTTGCTCATTCCAAGGTGTAGATTCCTATGGAGAAGAACGAGCAAGAAACTCCATAGGTTACTCTTTTTCAATCAGGTTCACAATACAATTCTTTAGTTACATAGTTTTGTTGTTTGGATTGTGCGAGAACAATGTAACATCAAAATCTAGTCAAGACAAAAAAAATGTATCCCGATATGTGAAATTCTACCAAAAAGATCCTTATATTGCGTTCGCTGTTATTTGAAAACCCAACTTCTGGCAGAAGTCATTAGAATATTTTACGCGGACGAAGTCGCGAGGAACAGCTACATCCTTATCTTTACTAATATTATAAATCGGAAAGGGAGTTTGTTTGTTTGTTCCGCTTTCACGCCGTAACTACTAAACCGATTGCTTTGAATTTTTACAGACGTAAAGTTAGAAGTCCGGATTAAATAATAGGGTACTTTTTATACCGGAAAAAATTGATATTCTAGAGGGAAAACGAAATTATTGGTATAGATGGCGCTGTGTCTGTGTGTATTGGTATATGTCACATAGGCTACTTTTTATCCTTTTGTGACGTGAGCGAAGCCGCGGGTAAAAGCTAGTAGTACCATAAAAATCACTACTTACAGGATCCTGTAGTAATTCATTCGTTCTCAGTTCAATGGCCTTTCCCTTCTTCGGTCTTAATAAAACGAAGACTTTTGATACATTCGTTGCTCTGGAAGTAAATAAATAAAGCATAATAAATAAGAGCTAATAAATAAGTTTTGGGGAGCCATGCTTAGGTACGAGTATGTCGGCTCGAGCGGCGTGATACTACGGCTTCACAGTACAAAGTCGAAGACAAAATCATTTATTTCAATTCATAACTAAATAATTGAAATATTAAATAATAAGAAAAAAAATCAGTCTGTAGGTCAGTCCTCTATAGTCAGAATTTTAATTAGATTCCAGATTTGACAATAGCTACTGTCATTTTGTGAAATAATGATACCACATATAATAGTATAGTGATGAACACAAAAATCGATAAACAATCATTGTGTGTGTTTTATAATAAATGTTACAGAAAGTGACAGCGATAGCGATAGCGATGACGGCGACAATTTATAAAATAACTTATTACCATAATACATCTATCTATCATGATTACATTTTTTTATTTATTTCACACACAATTATAAAAGAAAAGTCTCAGATCGTTAATTAATCGTCAAAACTAAATTATCGGTACAGAAATATTTAATTTCCTGATATACTTAGTTTACGAGAGTAAAATTATAAACGAGAAGAATCGATCCAGAAATATTGCATTTCCATATCGAATAATTTCGCAACGTCACTATTTAGTACTTGTCATAACGTTGCAACACTGAAATTGTCAAATCTGGAATCGAATTAAAATTCCGAGTATAGTTCCTCTATTTGCTCGTTCCAAGGCGTAGATTCCTATGGAGAAGAACGAGCAAGAAACTCCATAGATTACTCTTTTTCAATCACTACAATTCTTGGTTACATTGTTTCGTTGAGTGTAAATGGGATTTTGTCGTATAATAAAACAATACTTAGATAAAACGAATCAAAGTTTAGGAGTGGGGACTAAAACGTCATTTCTACGTATGAAATGTATATAGAAGTGACGTCACGCGACATTTCAAATCAATATATCGTAAAAAGTATTCGTTTCTGGAAGAAAATAAAAAATACGTGTCTAATGATTTGAAATAATCTACCAGACGGACATTAAAATAAAAATTAGGCATCTACCAATCTACCAATATTTAGTCAAGGAGACGGAAAAAGAAAATAATCTTGAGGACAATACATTTAATATACAGTCTGGATTACCTGAAGAGCTTCTCAATGAGCTGCTTTCCCAAGAAACCAGTGCCTCCAGTCACGAACACATTCTGGCCATTATAGAACTGCTGTATGGCTGAATTTCCTCGAGCAGTCGCTTCATGCATCGGTTTCTGTCGAGCCATGAACTGCAGCTCCAACTCCTGTGCGGGATCTAAGGCTTCTGTTTCACCCATGGTTCTTGGAGACCTGGAGGTTATCATAATATTGGTTCGTTATTGTTTATTATTAACTCGTCGAGTACCGGTTTTGTAGACACAATTATAGAACAATAGGTTGCGGTCACCGGTGACCGCTTGGTGTTTGACAGTTTAAGCAAAGGTTTGTTTAAAGGGGGTAGGGGGATTATCAACTGACTCCTCCCGCCCTGCGTGAGGCGTGAGGGGGGGTGTCAAACTCTTACTGACTACACACGTCGAGCTGGGCCACGGTAACTTATTGTGCTTTTCCGCAGTCGCAGAGCAGTGGCTGAAATTCGATTACCTAGTTCGTATTTTTTTATGGTATAAGCCGGTAAACGAGCAGACGGATCACCTGATGGTAAGCAATCGCCCATGGACGCCTGGAACACCAGAGGCGTTGCAAGTGCGTTACCGGCCTTTGGGGATTAGGAATTTGAGGATTTTTGGGGATTCAAGAATTGGGAAAGGGGCAGGGGGGGGGGTTAATTGGGCCTCCGGTAACCTTACGCACACGACGAAACACAACGCAAGCGTTGTTTCACGTCGGTTTTCTGTTCGATCGTGATATCACTCCGGTCGAGCCGACCCATTCGTGCCGAAGCATGGCTCTCCCACACTATATTATCGAGTATTATTGTTCTAAAACCTTAATTAAATTCGCAGTTACAGTAAATACATTATTTTTGCCCGGTGTATGTAGTACGATTCACTTTAAAGGCAGAGTGCTGATGGTCGTACCGGCTATCAATAACAAAAATTTTGACAAATAGGTACGAAATATCTCCAAAATTACTTTGCTCGATCCGGAAAACGAACCCGAAGCATATACTTGGCAGTCATACTTGTGATCGATCGACGAATGACGTAGTCTTTTTTTTCGGGACAAGCCTGCCACAACCTCCCAAAACCGCTGCAACTCCTGTAAGCCAGGATCTACAGTAGGTACAACCATGAAAACACCGGAACATTGAAGTCCGGCGCGTCCCAGGGACATGAGTAACTGTCTTGGTTCCCGCAACGAAGTGAATCAGAAGATATTATAAGAGGAGAAGAAGAAAAACCTATAGTTTCCAGTTCCCTTGGTGAATTACTGCAGGAGACAGAATGAATTAAGCCTAAAGGCAGAAAGAAGAGACTGTACAACTGGGTGAAGCCCAGTCGCCAAGCACCACGGAAATTTGACTAAAAACTAAGTGAGTCCTATGTATGAGCTGTTATACTTGCTTCCAATAATAGGTATGGCAAAAGCGCCTAAACGCACGGAAATTCGTTCTACATTCCACAAGGTCCGTATAATAAGCTACACCTGACGAAACAATTAAATTATTTAACATAGTGTTACGTTCATATTGCCAGAGATCACACTCTCAGAGTATGATGTAGTCTTAGTAAACATATTTAAGAATTACACAAAAAGAACTTTCTACCAAGGAAAGGACCCCACAAACGTTCACTCCGCGCCAAGGTACCTACCTAATGTGTTATTCAAGACCAGTGACATGATCACCGACCTTTGTGGTGTATATTTAGTGAAAACAATTACAAAACAATACATGATTCAATATTCATTATTTAATTGTCTACATAATTATACATTGGACATAGATATGTACTTACATTATACCTACGTATTGTATAAAAAAACAACGAAAAGTAAAAACTATAAAGCAAACTATTATTGGTCATACGTACTTACCTATAAGCACACCCATAACAATTGCACTAGTCGCCCCTATAATTTTAAAAGTTCCCCTCAGTTTCCCTGCGATCTCATCATCAGATCTTGACGTGATGACAATGGGGCTAAATGACAAAATTAACCACTCAAATAAAAAAAGAACTTTTAAAATCGGTCTAGGCGTCTTCGAGAAATCGACTAACAAACAAGAAAGAATACAGTCGAATTGAGAAACCCCTCCTTTTTTGAAGCCAGTTAAAAAGGCAATATGCGTATTGAGGAGCCAAATTAGCAAAAGCGATGAAGCGAAAGAGGTAGGTATGTCAGAATCGTGCCATTTGGCGTGTCATTGTCTCTACCAACCACAATTAGATACAGGCGTAATGCAAATAAGTCGATAATTGAGTGTGATTGACAAGCAAATGGTATTTTGTGTTCGATTCCCTGCCCACTTATATCTATCATTAGTATTTTTTAAATGGGACAAGCTCGCCACAACCTCCCAAAACCGTTGCAACTCCTGTAAGCCAGGATCTACAGTAGATACGACCATGAAAACATCGGAACACTGAACGCAACAATGTCTCAGGGACATGAATAACTGTCTTTGTAAAGTTAAAGATTACCTTGATAACGTAATATTTAGTGATCTTTCCTACTCATTGATTGCTAATCTACCCAATAATTGCATATGTGTGAACAAAAGAGTCATGTTAGCCCGAAGACTAAGATCCGTTCGAAATCTAGCAAGTGCAACCTACCAATGTGACTCGGTATATGTACTTTCTAAAATTATTAAGACACCACTGACAAACGATGAAGGAAAACATCGTGAGGAAACCTGGGCTTATAATTTGTAATGATAAGTTTGAAATCGCCAACCTGCATTGAGCAAGCGTGGTGAGTAATACTCAAACCTTCTCCGTGAGAGAAGTGTTTCTCAGCAGCAATGAGATAGTTTTTATACAGGCTGCTAATGAGATGATGTGAGATTCATATATGTGTGACCTCAATTACATATCGATAGCTAATTAGGCACAATTTCAGATTTCATGAACACTCAACATTTTCATAATTGGGTATCAAAATTAAAAATGTAATTAGTCCGTCAGTTAGATAATGAAAAAATATTGCACACGTATTTTTTTATTTTCTCGTATAAAGTTACAATACTTAAATAAAATGGAGTTAAGTTTAGGAGTAGGGGTCATTACGTCACTAAGTGCTACATCTTGTTGCACGCTGTGACGTCATACGACATTTCATCAATATATCGTCGAAAGCATTTAATTTTGTGAGAAAAGAAAAAATACGTGTCTAATGTTTTAAATTAATCTACCAGACGGACATTAAACTGTCAAACATCAAGCGGTCACCGGTGACCGCAACCTATTGTTCTATAATTGTGTCTATAATGACGGTACTCGACGAGTTAAAATAAAGTTGGAAATTAGCCTACTGCTGCTGTTTTAGCATCAACTTCAACAGACCGTCGCTTATCTACTGCTAGATTATTAGCCTTCTCTACATAAGAGGGTATGCCATAATCTTCACAGGCATGCAGGCAACATTAATAACTTATTGAAATTCACAAAACACTTTATATTACGTCCCTATTCAGTTCAGGTTTATCAGAGAGCGCTGCTGCCCGGTCCTTGTCAAATGTGTAGTCCCTTAGTCGGGTATACGACACCCAGGTTTTAATTAGAAAAATCTAAACGCACTTTTTACCGAACTCTAATCGAACACAAGTCTTTAAATCACTGACAATTAAATTATTAGGAAAAAACCTCCTCCTGTTTTTGGAGATCAGTTAATAAATTAAAGAGAATAGTCGATTTTGACTTACCTAAGTTGCAGTGTACTCACAACTACCTACACAATAAGTGAATGAAAACGTAGGCCAAACGACTACAAAATATATAAATGTTTAATTGGTCCCAAATCATCTTTATTCATGGGTAGAAAAAATAATGGAAAGGGTTATTCTGCTATGAAACCGAAGTACCTTTTATGGTTAAGGTTAAGGAAGTACCTTATAAGTGTGGGAGAGCCATGCTTCGGCACGAATAGGCCGGCTCGACCGGAGTGATACCACGGCCGAGCAGAAAACCGACGTGAAGCAACGCTTGCGTTGTGTTTCGTCGTGTGAGTGAGGTTACCGAAGGCCCAATTACCCTCCCCTTCCCCAATCTCCCCAATCCCAGAATCCCCAACGATCCTCAAACTCCTAATCCCCAAAAGACCGGTAACGCACTTGTAACGCCTCTGGTGTCCATGGGCGACGCCGATTCCTTACCATCAGGTGATCCGTCAGCTCGTTTACCGGCTTATTCCATAAAAAAGGTATTTTTTATACCACGACGGTGGCAAAAAAGCACGCGGCCCACCTGATGGTAGGCGGGTACTGTGGCCTATGTACGCCTGCAACACTTGGGGCATTACATGCGTCTTGCCGACCCTTAAGAAGCCTATTCACTCCCCTCTTGAAGAACCCGATGTTGTAGCCCACTAGTATTGTTACTCATCGCACCTACGGTGCAATATCGTCACTTATGCAATTTTTGTCAAACCTTAACTGATGAAAGAATACTCCAAATTCACCTCTTTACTTGGTGCGTTATTTATTGTCATTTGTGTAGTAAGCAAACTGACATTGAGAGGGCATTACTGTCGTTACGGTTTTGGCGCTAATCTGGACGGCACTTGGCGAAACAACGTTTCATTGTTCAGTTGCGCGCGGGCCTCCGCAATACATAAGTGACGATATAGCACCGGAGGTACGACATGTTCTAAAATAAAATGCTAAAAGGTATCCATCGTGAGACACTATTTTAACTAAAAATCGCGGGTTACTCACGTGAATATAATATACTGAGAAAAGTTCTACTAATTTAGAGCGCGGTCGCGGCTGTGGCTCGAAACTAGTAGAGCTTTTCTCAGTATATTCACGTGAGTAACCCGCGATAATTGGTTAATCCTTTTTTTGATGGAGAAAAATCATCCAACGTCTTCTACCGCCGGGTGAGGCGAGAGGGAGTGTCAGACTCTTACTGACTAAACACCACCCCGTTCTTACGCCTGCACTTCGAGGCGGAGAACCGGCAACCCGTATCAGCAGCAGCCCTATTGGGCGCCATCTGTGCTGGTTTGATGGCTCTTTAAAGAGCGCGCGGAACGCGACGCGCCCTACGCTCTGGTTTATATAATGCTAAAAGACGTTCTATTGCGCATGCTAAAAATGATCCAAAATCAAACGCCTGTGGATTTGCAAATATGCCTGAAAAGAACATACTAACTTTGAGCAACATTCCAACACATATACTACGAAGTGACTAGCTGCTTTCTTTTTGAAATAAACACGCGCAACAGTACCTTTATATGTGTCGGGTCGACCGGAGTGATACCACGGCCACGGCCACAGTACACTGTTATTACGAAATGAATTAATTTTCGTGGTGTCAAAAAATAAACAAGCCCACAGGGGTTTTACCCATATTGTGCCCGTGTCGTGAGGTTTTAGTGATCAAAACTATTCCTTTCCCGGGTTGCAAATCATTGTTGTACCGAATTTCATAAAATGATTTCAAAGATAGAGAGTGCCGGGATTTTAACACATAATTCCCGGTCTCGTGGGATATCAGGGTTGTAACCTCTCAGCCGCTTTTACGATTTCTCAAAATATCGTTGTATGTACCTACCGAATTTCATTCAAATAAGTTCAGTGGTTTAAATTAAGAGAAACACGGGGCTTTAATGCATAGTTTCCGTTCCCGTGGGATTTCCGGGATAAAAACTATCATATGAAATGAAATTCCGTGGGTTTTTAAAAATTAATATTTTTTTATTTAATTACATGAGTGAAACAAAGATATTTATTATTAATAATGGATTGTTCAATTTTGATAATGTGTATAAAATTTATTAACAAATCAGATCAAATATTATTAGCTAGAAAAGTGGTAAATTACAGATACTTAATACAATATTTTTGAGATTCTCACATTTCAGTTCATTTCACCAGGTCACGCATGCATATATTTAATATAATTTGTTATAATTAAAATGTTATAAAATAATTATTTAATGTCATAATATCGTAAATATATTCAGTCTTTTATATCAGTCCATAGTTATATTATCAAGTGTCTCAATAGGGTAGATGCCTAATTTTTATTTTAATGTCCGTCTGGTAGATTATTTTAAATCATTAGACACGTATTTTTTATTTTCTTACAGAAACGATTACTTTCGACGATATATTGATTTGAAATGTCGCGTGACGTCACTTCTATGTACATTTTATACGTAGAAATGACGTTTTAGCCCCCACTCCTAAACTTTGATTCATTTTATATAAGTATTGTTTTATTATACGACAAAATAAAAAAATACGTGTCTAATATTTTTCATTACCTAACTTACGGACTAATTATATTTTTAATTTTCATATCCTGTCATCATCCCAATTTTAATAATTTCATTAATATTTTAATGCTCTTTTGTATGATTAAAAATTGTTTATTTCTTTTTTTATTCCCATTTGTATTTAATTTTAAGTTGTACATATTTATTCATAATAGCGTTATTTAAGTTTCTAATATATAATTTGAATAAACGTGTTAGGTAAGTACATACCTACTTTAATAAAAAACCATATAGGTACATATTTGAATTTGAGGTCTTCAAATCACAACAATTATTTTCATTTAGAATCTGTCTACATACATTTTCTGTAATTAGTTCTTTGACAAGATTAATTCACTTTGATTCGAATTGTTATTACAGAATGTCCCTGCTCGACCTTACTTGTATTTGTAACGGTTTCCAAAAAGCGGTTAACAATTATTTTTGTACCTATAGCTAAGTCTAGAATACGCATAATAGTGACAGTAAATAAATAGAAATCAGTGTGCTAATTTATTTTGATGCACATTTTTTTTGTTCGAATGTGAATCACTTGCTCCTTGTGTATTTTGAAACCTAAAATATGGAAAACAACGTCTATTTTTCAATGACAAGGTAAGCTCTAAATATTTACCTATATTTTTTATATTATGAATCGATCAGTCACTAAGAGAGTGACGTGACAGACTGTACACAGCTGTAACTACTGCGCGTAGCAAGCTGTGTGACATGTAGCGCGCTAGGGGAGTGTAGGGGAGTGCTGAGAGAGTGACAGACTGTACACAGCTGTAACTACAGCGCGTAGCAAGCTGTGTGACATGTAGCGCGCTAGGGGAGTGTAGGGGAGTGCTGAGAGAGTGACAGACTGTACACAGCTGTAACTACTGCGCGTAGCAAGCTGTGTGACATGTAGTGCGCTAGGGGAATGTAGGTCCTGGTTGTCAGTCTAGGCTTGTCTCTGCCAGCAGTAATTAAGGCTATGCTGGCAGATACCGAAAATTGGAGGGAAGTGGCCTTATTTACTGAGACAGTAATATCCCAAAAGGAGGCTGCTGAGCGGGATCACGAGAGGGCCAATCCTAATCGTAGAAGGCGTCGAGGAGGCAGCCTCGACGCCTAACACACCGCAATCCCACTTGTTCGAACTTCAAACGGACCTTTGGCGCCACGGGTGCATTGAGTGAGGACTCTAGGTGCCCATCCAGTGGCCTCAGGGACGACGGGGCAAAGCGATGATCAAGGGACACGCAGGTCTCTCTAGGGATGTGCTGTAACAGACGTTGCACCGTAGGGTCTCCGGAGCTGGTCTCTATAAGAGGACCTGGTGCCTCATACAGGTGCTGAGGGTGGCCACTGGGGTGGTTTTAGTGAGGTACGAATCCCACACGCTTTCTTTATCCCCAAAAAGCTAGGCGCCTTTTGGAGGTTTCCCCCGTCAACAAAAGGGGGTGCTGAGAGAGGAGTTCCCTAAAAATGATGTCGCAACCAAATGACCAGAGAATTGGAAATAGGAAAACCTCTACTAATACTTTTGAAAAATTACTAGTACCTATTACGTTATTCCCAAACCAGGAATCAAATTCATTAGCCTCGACATTATAATTAGGTTTAAAATAAATATACCACTAAAACTGTTTCAGGAAATAGGAAGTCGCTGACTTCTTTTAAATAACACATTTGCATATACTTAGGTACCTGCGCACTATATATTAGGCACTAGCCTTTAGTAACGATAGTAGAACACATCTGTCACCACCGCTACTCTTCCCGCGGGTGTCGGATACCCGACTAAGGGACTACGAATATGACAGAGACCGGGCAGCAGCGCTCTCTGATAAACCTGCAAACTCTGACCAGGAGGTCGTATACCAAGGGTGGAAATAATAATGCGCCTCTCTTATGTAGATGACGACTTTTTCCCAGTTATATGTACTTTCTAAGATTAAACTGTCAAACACCAAGCGGTCACCGGTGACCGCAACCTATTGTTCTATAATTGTGTCTACAAAACCGGTACTCGACGAGTTAATTAGACACCACTGACAAATGGTGAAGGAAAACATCGTGAGGAAACCTGGGCTTATAATTTCTAATTATAAGTTTGGGGTGTCGGATACCCGACTAAGGGACTACGAATATGACAGAGACCGGGCAGCAGCGCTCTCTGATAAACCTGCAAACTCTGACCATACAATGTGACTGGATAACAAATACATATTTATTCAAAATGTTCGCGTCTAATAATATACTTGAACAAAGTCTACAAGTTCTAAGATTAAACTGTCAAACACCAAGCGGTCACCGGTGACCGCAACCTATTGTTCTATAATTGTGTCTACAAAACCGGTACTCGACGAGTTAATTAGACACCACTGACAAATGGTGAAGGAAAACATCGTGAGGAAACCTGGGCTTATAATTTCTAATTATAAGTTTGAAATCGCCAACCTGCATTGAGCAAGCGTGGTAATTAATGCTCAAATGCTCCGAGTGAGAAGAGGCTTTTGGTTAGCAGTGACCACTTATAGGCTGTTGATGTTTTTTTATATATAGCCCAAAGCATCAAGCTATAAATAACAGTATGAACAGACCGTTGATAAGTGATAGAGAGTGAGACCAGGATATACTGTTTTTTTTTATGGCATAAGCCGGTAAACGAGCAGACGGATCATCTGATGGTAAGTGAATTACGTCTCCCATGGACACCTAGAACACCAAGGAAGAAAGGCGTTACCGGCCTCTTGGGAATTGGGAATTTGAAGATTGTGGAGGATTCGGGGATTGGGGAGCCTGGGGAGGGGGGTACTTGGACTACCGATAACTTTACTCACACGACGAAACACAAAGCAAGCGTTGTTTCACGTCGGTTTTCTGTTCGGCCGTGGTATCACTCCATAATGGTCTTGTGTAGCCCAAAGCATCAAGCTATAAATACCAGTATAAGCAGAGCGTTGAATGTACGGAAATGTGAAACAAAGTAAGACCAGGATATACTGGTCTGTGTGCAACATACATTAACTGACCGACTTGATAATTACAATTTGAAGGTCGTCGGGTCAGACAATACTGAATTATGTAACTTCGGACATACATGTAAGTATTCCAGTGCTAACGTAATTCCAAATTAACATTGTATGTACAAATGACTTGTGAATTTACCTACAATTTGCGAGTTAATTGAACTGAGGGCTTAGTACAAGTTTGTCTTATGTTAAAGTAATAGAAACGAGATCTCGCTCGGCGCTGTGATTGGTTCGTCCATTGGAGCCGGCCATGTTTAAGTGTGGGAGAGCCATGCTTCGGCACGAATGGGCCGGCTCGACCGGAGTGATACCACCAACGAGCAGAAAACCGACATGAAGCAACGCTTGCGTTGTGTTTCGTCGTGTGAGTGAGGTTATCGGAGGCCCAATTACCCTCTCCTTCCCCAATCTCCACAATCCCTGAATCCCCAACGATCCTCAAACTCCTAATCCCCAAAAGGCCGGTAACGCACTTGTAACGCCTCTGGTGTTCCAGGTGTCCATGGGCGACGCCGACTGCTTACTATCAGGTGATCCGTCTGCTCGTTTACCGGCTTATGCCTTAAAAAAAATCATAGCGCCTAACGCGTACTCGTTTGAATTACTTTGCACGTAAAACAAACTCATACTAAAGGCCTCTGTTCGAATCGTAGAACAGTTTGAGGAAAAAATATTTTTATGTATTATTACATACATACACACATACATAACTTCACGCCTGTCTCCCATGGGGGTAGGCAGAGACTAAGGAACGCCAATTACTACGATTCTTACATACCTCTTTCGCTTCATTAACAGTCATCAATCTTTTCATGCATGCTCGTCGGTTAAGGGTACTTTTAATTTGGCCCTTCTTTAATATATTTACTAATATGTATTAGTATTAACTTGTATACGTACAGTATTGGATAATGTATCAGAGAGATTGTAAAACATATTGTTTTTTAACTGCCAACTTTAAAACGATGAAAGTCAAACCTCCACTAGCGTCAGGCACCGGTGACTGACATGGCAGTCTAAGGGTTAAAAGAGTAACGAATGGAGTTTCTTGATAGTTCTTCTCTATTCGAATCTACTTTTTGGAATGAGCATCTAGCTTCACTGACGGACAGACTGACAGACTAATATTTATTTTGTATTTGTTAACGTTTCAAAAGTACCCAATAATACTTTACTTTGTCAAAAATAAATTATTTCGACTGTTCAGTACAGTTAAATATTGAAAAAATAATCATACTTTCATTAATTGATTTTACGACCGACTTAATTTTAGTATATTTTCAGCAATTTTTTAAGTAATAAGTACGCTGTTTGATTCTTAAAAACGTGACGTCACAATACACAATCTCGTACAAAATTCATAGAAAACTGTCGTTTTTGACAGTTCGAAAAAAGTATTGAATTTGACTAGTTTAGAGCTACCCGACGCCATAGACTAAGAACGCGAACAGGCACTCCTGTCAAGTTTCAACGGCCGGCACTTTATAATCTGTGCACAAATCTAAAATCTTGTCTTTAACGGGAACAATTTGGTAACTATTTACATTATCAGTCAAATCTACTTTGACATTATTCTTATTGTTCTCTTCTAGAACGGACATAGGAGGTTGTGGTCCTTTACAATCTTCTTCGTCACCATCCTGGGCGGTGTCGACATTACCTGATTCAAGTTTCTCTAATTCTTCTTTTTCGGCTTGCTCGAAGGCTTCCAGTTCCTTCTTTTCGAAGATTTCTTTCCGCTTCATGGAGCGTTGGAACATGACGCGAGAACGATGTTGAGGTTTGAGGACCCAGGAGACAGCCATGTCTACGTCCGCTATCCTGGAATTTGAGAAATTTGCATGAATATCAGAATCTATACTACCGCAACTACTAGTTCGAATTAATTAATTCATTTTGTGTTGGATAGTCTATTTATGGAGGAAGGCTATAGGCTACAATACATCACGCTATGATCAATAGGAGCCGAGCAGGAGAAGTTAGCATGATATAAACATTTGAAGAAGTACGTGCTTGTACAAGAGTACATGACCGTCCAAATGACCAACTGACCGTCCCTTCGTCAGCCGACCAAGAGGTCGGCAAGAAGGGACGGTCATTTGATGAATACTTAATATTTAGTCATTAGTATAACATAACATCACGCCTTTTATCCCCGAAAAGGTAGGCAGAGGTGTAAGTACATATCGGCACTTAATGCCACTGTACAATGTAACACCCTCTTTTCACTATTTATGTCACGAGTCCCATGTAATAGGGGGTGAGTCTATTGCCATACACCGGGCACAATTCCAGACTCCGTGCTACTACTGAGAATTTTATAAAAAATCTAGTCATACTTTGCCCAACCCAAGAATTGAACCCGTGACCTCTTGCCTGGCCATCTCACTTGCGACCACTCGGCCAACGAGGCAGTCATTTTAAAGTATAACTTGTAGCCTATTTAAGATAGTAAATAAGGTTAAATAATTAAGTACATATAACATCGCTAACTAACAAAAGCAGGTCATACTTAATTATAATATATTGTTTGTCCATTTAAGCACCATTATAATTACAATTATCTATTTTGGCTAAAAATTCTCAGGTTTGACGTTTTTCGACGTCAACCGTCCGGGGATTCAGACCAACATGCAATGCACTTTCCATAGAAACTGACGCAATTGGATTGATGACAGGGTATGAAAATAAAAATAATAATTAGTCCGTAAGTTAAGTAATGAAAAAATATTAGACACGTATTTTTTTTTTATTTTGTCGTACAATACTTAGATAAAACGAATCAAAGTTTAGGAGTGTGAGCTAAAACGTCATTTCTACGTATAAAATGTAAATAGAAGTGACGTCACGCGACATTTCAAATCAATATATCGTCGAAAGTATTCGTTTCTGTAAGAAAATACAAAATACGTATCTAATGATTTAAAATAATCTACCAGACGGACATTAAATTAAAACCCTATACGCGAGGGAACTTATCTACAGTGGGGCCTGCCAAGCGAGATTAATGATTATGCTCACACCACCTATGTAGAGCAGGACCTTAGTCCAGCAGTGGACCCTTTGGACCTACATCCCGTTAATTGTGATAACACAAGAGAATAAAGGTAACGTACCGTCGCTTGAATCTGTCTCGATCTAAGGCGTATCTCATCCAATGACCGACCCTGGCCTGTCGAGCTGCGAACGACCAGACTCTCATCACGTGGACTGTCGGAGGCTGTTCCGAGAAGTGGACCTGGAATAGAAGGAAACATAACGTTAGTCTGAGGCAAAGATAGAAAGACTTATGTTGCGGATGAGCTGTGCCAAGGTATGAATGTGTCGGCTCGGCCGAAGTGATACCAAGGCTTCGCAGAAAACTTTCATGAAACTACCAAAGCGTTGCGTGCAGCCGTCTGAGTGAAGTTACCGAAGTCTCAATCCTTTCCAAAAGACACATGAAATCCATGTTTTGGCTTATGTGATCCACCACATGGTCGTGGTTGGAAACCACTGGTTTTTTTTAAAGGAAGGAAAATCTTCGAATGACTTCTCCCGCCTGGGTGGGGCAGGAGGGAGCCACCCCGTTCCTACTCCTGCACTTCGAGACGGAGCCCGATAACCTGTTAAGTTCTCCGCGGCTCCATATTGGCACCAGCCCTATTGGGTCCCATCTATGGTGGTCTGATGGCTCATGAGGCGCGCGCGGAACGCAACGCGCCACACGCTCGGTTCTGGGTTTGGTCGACCGGCGAGCTACCCATGCTCGCCGTCCGTAGGCCCGGGCTTACGGTGGCCGGAGAGAACCACTGGTATATAAGAAACTCCAGAACGCCACATTACGATCCTTACATACTTTTTAGTTCCCATCACATTCATAAAATATTTTACACTTAGCCTTTTTCGAAAATATCTCAAATAAGATCAGCATTACATTCCCCAGGATCTACCTGCATTACTTGCATTTGCATATTAGTCCAAAAATAAAAACAGTACATCGATATCTATACCCGTATAACTACGAAACAACTGCATCGAATCGGATACCCTCTTTTGTTCGAAGTTGAAAAAAATTTGGCAACCATTTTGTGCCATAGAATATTGACTGGGGTATAGTCATACGAAGCCAGGTTGTCCTGCTATTGTAAGTTACAACACCAAACTGCTAAGCGTGATTAATGGTCATCTCAGAAATTTACATGACAAAGGTTTTTGCTCAGCTGGTAAACAGCCGAGGGCTAGCTAAATTACTTTTGGTTAATGTACATGTCTCTTTTAAAGGACCTATTTTGGAAAAAAGGGTACCGGTTTCTATTGTCATATTTGAGACAAAAAATCAGGTAGTTCCACCAGGTAGTGGAAAGACAATTGCCGTTTGTTTTGTAGCTGTGTAAGCTTGCTTATAAATGGACGCTTTGTGGACGAAATAAGATTGTTTTTGTCACAAAAAGTTATTCAATTCCTACTTTCTTTTTATTTATTGTTAGATTAACTCAAACTCAAAGTCTTTATTTGCATGTTAAGGTAATACATACAGGTCATTACAGGTCTTATGAAATAACAGGCACAGCTTAACGGCCTTTTTCAGGCGTTGCAAATGTTAGGGGTGTCACTAGCTTAATATAAAAATTACATTTTGGTTAACATTTTTTTCTTAAATATTTATTGATTTGTTCGGAATGTAGGTAAGTACTTAAAGTATATAATATATTAGTGGGTTAGTGCAAAGTGTAAGTGGGTATTCCTAAAATGTATAGTATATAGTACATAGAATATTTATATTAAAATGTATAGTATGTTGGTGTGTGCTTGTGGGTGTGAAGCATTATGTATGTATGGGGTAGGTTTTTAAAACTGTTAAAAGCTTTGTATGTTGCTAGCAAAAAAATATGATTTCCCTTAACACTAACTTTAACTGTGCATATTTAACAACACCCCTATGTATTGCCAAAACGGCTACCTCACTCGTATTTTAAGAGAAAGGACCCAAACAACAAACAAAAGCCAACAGCCACACTTGCCACTTCTATCAGGGAACCTTCAGGTGTGGCCTCACTGCGAGGACCACCCGGGGGACACGGTGGAGCATACAGTGGCGATATGTATGTATGTGGGCTGAGCATCGCCGTGTCCTCAGGAATGTAGTTGGCTACGGCGACCTCTCGCATCCGGCTCTGGTTCGGATCATGATACGGAACGAGGGGAATTTGGATGCCGTTTCCTCTGTCAGTGAAGCAGTCATGCTAGCCAAGGAGCAGGGCACAGGTTCTGGTCGAGCGGCGAGCTACCCATGGTCGCTCGCAGAACCTGTGGTACGGCGCGTCGCATACCGCGTGTGCCTCAAAGAGCCATCAGACATCAGACCACCACAGATGGGGCCAAGTAGGACTGGTGGCCGATACGGAACCGCGGAGGGCCCAACGGATTGCCGGGGCTCCGGCTCAAAGATAAGGTTTAGGAATTGGTGGTTTTTAGTCAGTAACACACTCCCTGATACTCCCTCTCGCCTAAGCCAAAGCGGGAGAAGTCATTGGATAATTATCCCCCCTTAAAAAAAGCAACAATTTCCAAAATCATAATGACAAATCATTTATCATCACAACTTCTTGCATTGCATCAATATTACAAGTCATCCTGAAGGTGTTCCAATCATTACCTGCCGATTATTCTATTTTCTACGACATTGCATCAGATATCTACTTTCTTACAATATGAGCGATGTTTTTGTTGACAAAAACATTCACTAAGAAATATAAACATTGAAGTTTGTTTGTTGTTCTTCAACTGGAAAACAGCTGAGCTTGTTTTGATGAAATCTCGTTATAGATAAGATATAAGAAAAAGAATCTTGGAGATCTTCAGATGCTTGCTAGATAGATGCTGGCCACATTAGAAAGATCACGCCTACTCAAAAGCAACTTATTCACTCGGGCTTTGAAGACATCCAGGTTACATGAACTGCTGTTTATATAATACTTAATCTAATGTCACAAAGTAATTTTACATAAAATAAACTTTTACATGCCGTAAATTTAATATAAGGTCAATGTGGGGAAGACCGGCATACTTTTTTAATAGTTAACTTTGATTGAAGTAAACTAATGGAACTACACATTCCAGGGTAACTCTTTTAGCTACAATAGATGAGAAATATTGTTTTGTATATTTTAAAAACATTTGAATCCCTCTAATGTCAAATAGCGCATAACACAAAAGGTTTTTTAAAAATATGCGTCTAGACGGACTTTCCTTGCGTATTAGAGGTAAGTCCGTCAGAGGGTCATTTTATATTAAATTTGATAGATTTTACAGAGGGAAATATTTTCTTTCGATGAAGTAATGAATGCTATTGAAATATGTACTTTATAGTCATACCTATAAGGTTGCAAATTATTTAAACCAGTATTTTTCTAATACTTGAGGTAAGACCGGCATATATTTTTGTGATGGGGCTGCAAACATTTTCGATAAAAAAAAGCAAAACAAACTGAAACATGTTTTATTTTCGTATAAGAAGTCACTATAAATCGTGTCTTATTTATTTCAATAAAAATCAATGTAAGTAGGTACTGAACACAATAAATATTTGCCTGCAGTTTAACAGCAATTACTAAATAGGTTTGTACCTACTGATATTAATCTATTTACACACCAGTATCCGACATGAATCGAGATTTTATTTTGTATGGATTTAACACACGAACATTTTATGTGAATTAACGTAAGCGTAAATTTTCGTAAATTTTCCTCTAAAAACACTCGTTTGGCGCATAATATTTAAGTATATTATGTATGTATACTATAGGTTCTCATATTTTTGTATGACAGAAATTATGTGTTGCATAAAATTAAACAAAAGTAATGGATTGTAGTTTTTATAAATAATTTAACTGATATTCGTATTAGAACCTCTGATTTCTGCCTATTGATAAGTTAAAAAGCAGTTGAATTCATCCAAAATAATATTATGATTCATCAAATCGGTAATACTTTTGTGACAATAGACCAAAGTTATTATTTCTTAGGACAAGATAACAATCAATAGAATCAACAATATTAACTTAATTAAAATAATTTAATACGAAATGTATAGTAGTTAACGAATGGCGTAAAGTGGGGTGTAGAATAAATGAGTGGGAACCTAAACAACTAGGAAGTGTTTAAAAAATTATACACAATTTTATGAGCTTTGATTTCTAGGATTTTGAAGAAAATTCCAAAAATTGTACCTTTGTAGGACTTACTTAATATTTTCGCTTCTCATTTTCAGAAGAAATCGCTTAGGTTTTCGCTCATTCACTCTACATCTCCCTTATTCACTGGACTTTTATGATAAGAATAGATTTGGTTGCAATTTATCAGTAACTAGGATTAGCTTTACATTTTTAACAAGAAAGTGAAGAAGTCTGTAAAATCTTTAGTCACATTTGTTTTTCTGTTGTTTTTCACCTTAATTATACACACAGCCATAAATTTAATAATTTACTACTACAAATATCAACAGTCTTATTAATTTGTTTTTATTACTTAATAAAAGAATATAATATTACTAAAAATGTTTTTGAGATCCGTAAGGTCGTTAGAAAAAAAATCAATCAATTTGTTTTGTTGATTATAATCATACATAGGTACTGCTCATGCATAATTAGTCGGTTTTTTTTATAAAAATCTAGAGTATTCTCTTAAAAAAAACAATACAAAGTATTTTCTTAATCTCGCAAAAATCCGTAATTTAAGCCGAAATAGAACAAACCGATACGTTTTTATAATAATTATCGTGTCGTGACACATACAAAATTAACTAAAAACCCGCGGGTTACTCACGTGAATATACTGAGGAAAGCTCTACTAGTTTCGAGCCACAGAGGGGTTCATTCTCTTGAGCAGTGTGCGCGGTCGCGGCGATGTCGCGTAGGCTACTGGCTAGCGTTGGCGCAAGTAACAACACCGATGCGAGCGCCAACGCTAGCCAGTAGGCTGCGCGACATCGCCGCGACCGCGCACGCTGCTCATGAGAAAGACCTTTTCACAGTATATCCACGGGAGTAACCCGCGGTTATTAGTTAAACTGATACGTATTGCAAAACAATCAAAAAGCTTTTCGAAGCTGAAATAACGCGCCTTAAGTAGAGGGCACACCATGTCAGCTTAGACAAGCTCTACATAATTATTAAATAAAAAGTACAATTTTATTTAAAAATATACCTCATCTTCAATATTGCATAAGTTATATTGTTTTGCATTAACAGTTTCTATTTCGATCTTTTTAACTATAGACAGAGCTGGTACATTATCACGGTCTTTTCTCTTGGTCATTCTAAAAACTAGTCGTGGTTTCTTTACAGTTTTTAAAAAGTCTATAAAATAATATGTTTCGTCATCTACTAATTTGATATCCTCTATAAATCCAATGTAATAGCTCCACTTTTGTCTCGTATGGTATCTCACAAGCACGGAATCATTAATGCTGTAATTAGTGTGTTGTAAGTTGTCATAGTCAGTTATATTTTCTTGATTCACACTGTTTTCTTTTGCAATACTATTGACAACAATATCGTCATTTAGCATTATATTGTACATATTCATATCGCTATATATATTAATTTTATTAGAAACAATAGTCGAATCAATTGATGACAGGTGGCTTCGTTCCACATTTCTTTTCATACCGGTCTTTCCTGTTAAAGTAGTTGGATTAGACAGTAAATTATTTCCTTTTTGTGCATGATAATCTGCATGAGATATAGGATCCGAATTTTCTTTGTCAATTTCAAGATGACTTATTGTGGTGCTTAAATCATCGTCACTCGTAATGTCAGGTGCCGTTTTGTAGGAAGATTTTTTTATTTGCATTCTCTTTTTTCCTTTTTTGTTTAATTTAGTAATCTTTGGTAGGTTTTTTATCATAGTTCTATTGTTCTTTGCTGGCAGTTCTTTATTTTTCTGTTTAGGGGCTTTCTTTGGTACACTACGATTTACATTAAGCTGTAAGATGTCATTGTTACTAGAATTTACTTGATTCACCTTTAAATCATGTTCTGCAAAACAATAGGTTTCATTATTAAACTCATCGTCGAACAGTGTTTCAACGCTAATGTTCGTATCGCTGTATAGACTCATCTCATCAGAAATACTAGTTATGGAGTCAATCGATGGCAGCCGCTTTCTTTTCGTATTGCTTTGCTCACCTATCTTTCCTGTTGAAGTAGATGGACCATAAAATGATGCATATCGCTTTAGTGCAATATCTGCATTGTCGTCACTGTCAATATCAGATGTTGTCAGGTGTGGTGTGTCGTTAGATTGGACTTTTATTTGTGTTTTCTTTTGTTCATTTTCGCTTAGATTTTTAGTTTTTGGTTGTCGTTTTACTGTAGTCGTATTTTTCTTTGTCTGAGTTTCTTTTTTATTTTTTTCTTCCATTTTACGTTTAACAACATCGTTATGTGTTATAACTTCAGCTCCTGGAGCTATTTTTTGTCGTTTAACTTTTTCATGAGCTCCAGCTTTAACTTGCATCAATAGTAGTTCTTCAAAGGTTATTAGTCTGTTTTCTAATATCTGGATCTTATTTGTGCTATTGTCAACGTGTTTCAAATCTTTATTGGAAATAAAAGATTCTCGTTCCAGTCTCTGACGAGATTCTGATCCTAGGCCTTGATTTTCTTTTATAATTTTTGCATCTTCTGTCTCCAAATTATTATTCTGAATGCGGTTGTCGGTGTTACAGTTTGCAGAACAGTGATCGCTACTACTACGATGAGAATTTATACCAAATGCTTGTATTGTGCAAGTGAAGGCTAATGAAAGCAAACTTTGTGGCTGGTTTTTCGTAGCAACAAATAAATATTCATTATTATAAAAAACTAGTTCTTCTGGAATATTTAGGCAATTTTCATCCCTTTCTCGAGTATTGTGGTCAAATTCACGGCTTTCTTGTGACTTAACAACTTGATGTTCTTTCCAACGCTTTAGCTTTAATGGATCAAATAAACTTTCTTTAATTTCTTCAGAATTAAATGGGTAAATTCCAGCCTTACGGAAGCCATTTCTTAAAACCTGACCATCAATTTCAGCCCAAACCACTCCAATTAACCTCGCAAACTCTTTTTTTGGCAACTTCACTCCGATATTTAAACGCTGCCATTTTACGAGCATTGGATCCCATCGAGCTTTAAATGATTTCATGACCGCTACATCAAGCGGTTGTAAGATGTGACTTGTATGCGGAGGTAGCTTAAGTATTGTTATATCTGCTTTACGCGCTTCTTCGATTATGTTTAATCCTACATGAGTAGCATGTCCGTCATAAACAAGAAGAATCGGACGTTGATCTCCAACAGCTGGCAAGAATACTTTTTTAAAATACATTTCAAAGACGTCGGCCTCCATCCATCCTTTCTTTGTGGCAGCATAGGAAGTGCCGGGATAAGCATCTGGAGATGTCCATTCATCCCATACGTTCTTACCCTTGAAAATTATTAGTGGAGGAGTTTTTTCTCCTAGCGCACTGGCGCCAAGCAATACAGTGGTGTTTTCTCTACCAGGTGATGCTATTACTCTTGTTGCGGCGTGTCCTTTCGCGCCAACAATTTTAGATTTTTCAGGATCATTCGAAAAACTAGTTTCGTCTAAGTTCCAAATGGCGGATGGTTTGTCCAATAAATTTAAATGTACCAGTGTATTATAAAGCAATTCAAAATATGGATAAACTATGAAAGGATCTATGGCTTTCTTACGCGCGTATTCGACAGCTTGGGGTTTCTTTACGGATAAATTGTGTCGTTCTTTGAATGCTGTAAACCACGCTGGACCTGGAGTTCCGTTTTTAAAAGGCGTCGATAGATGATTACGTCTTACATATTGGCCGACCATTTCTAAGACCTCTGTTTTTGTCAAGCCAAATCCATATTTTTCCATTGAATGTAGTAACGACGCTAATTTTGTCTCAACGTCTGTCGTCAGAGCAGTGCTTCTGCCAAGAGAATTTGATTTAAATCTCCTGTTTTTCGCATGGTCCATAATAGTCATGCGAGGGATATTATAAATTTGCGCAGCTTTATAGCCACTCAGACGACCATCTCTAACAGCTTGCGCTGCTTCTAGTAACTTTTCTTTTGAATATGAGGCTTTGCTTGTTTTTCTTTTGTAATTGCTTACCATGATTATAGGTTACTGAAACAAAAAAACTTGTTAGTTACAAATTACTTACTTCCATAGATTTATTAAACACCTATGCTGTGGATACCATCGAGCCATCTTATTTTGCAACGTGTTTTATCGCTATACAACCAAAAGTACAGTTAGAATATTATTCAGGTACTAGAACAAAATTTTACTTAAAAACGAATACAAAATTAAACATTTATACGTACCGAACGTGTTTCTTGTGAAATAAGTTTGTATCATCGAATATTTTATTAAGGTTAATGCAAGAATGTTTAAGAACAGTAACTACATTCGTCTCCAGGGTAGTGATCGTAGATTGACATATGCAGGCAGCTTTGACACCAGAAAAAATCAAAATATAATAAGTATTGCATGTTCCATCTATGTACCATGAAATGATGTGGTAAGTCTAAGTCTGCATAATAACCACAATGATAACATCTTCTAGATAGAATGAAATGTGTCACATGCCACGGCCATATAAGGTATTGGTTTAAAAGTTCGATGTCATTTCTGGTTAAAAAACGATCAACATCCAAGTGAACTAATCCAGGCATATCCAATATTTTTCAATTCTGCAAAAAAAGCACTTGTTCGGTTTTGTCGCATATATTCATTATAGTTTAAATAAATAGTATTTATTGTTATTTAATATTAGCAACATGCAATTTTGAAAATACATACATAATCTAAAAAGATTGAAGATCTCTGCTTAAAGGCAAGACCGTCATATGACGGACTTACCTCGTGCGTATTATACGGTCTTTCCAACTATGGTATTTTAAGGTTAGATATTTACTTAAATTAATATTACAAAATTCGTAGCGTTATTGGTCAATTTAATGAAATAATTATAAAGAAGACATATTGAAATACTTACATTAATTCACTTTACGCTTCAATTTGTGTGATTTTGCACCTTTTTTTATTTTTTTTCACAACACGTGTCACTTATTCATCGAGTATAAAACACGACTAAAAAGAGAAGTCAATTTACTTCCGCAAATTGGCATATAGCGACATCTATTATTCTTAATTCGAACTAAATCACTAAACTGCTTTACCGATTGAGCGTTATACTCCCTAAATTATAAAAGAACGAGTGTAATGGCGCGTAGACGAAGTTGCCTTGTATACGGACTTCCCAGCATTCACCTTACAAGAAATATTCTTTTTTTCTACTAATTATAAAGTACTCCTAGCATACCTTACCTACCTATATCTTACAAACTATGTAGTACTAGCTTTTATCCGCTGCTTCGCTCGCGTCACAAAAGAATAAAAAGTAGCCTATGTGACATATACCAATACTCACAGCGCTATATATACCAATACTTTAGTTTTCCCTCGGGAATATTAAATTTTTCCAGGATAAAAACTATCCTATTACATAATCCAGACTTCTAACTTTACATCTGCAAAAATTCAAAGCAATCGGTTTAGCAGTTACGGTGTGAAAACGGAACAAACAAATTCACTTTCAGATTTATAATATTAGTAAGGATATAGTAAGAATGTAACCTTCGTGAACTCACTCAGCATACAGGTGAATATGACTTCATTGGTGACATTATTTCTATTTAAGTACATATGGTTGATAATGCTTCAACAAGGTAAATGACCGCAGAGTTATTATACAATAATATTTAGGTAGGTCTGATAAGGTTTCGATAGAGGAAAATCAGTGTCTAACTGTCTACTTAGGACAAGGTTTTGCTTATCATATGTCATGTTTTTGTAATCTAATGTAAGCATTATACATAATATGTCTGTCGCGGAGAACCTAAGGGGTTACCAGGGCCCCGGCTCGATGTGCAGGAGAAGGAACGGGGTGGTTTTTAGTCAGTAAGAGTCTGACACTCCCTCTTGCCTCACCCAGATGGCAGCAGTCATTCAATGATGTTCTCCCATTAACTCGTCGAGTACCGTCATTATAGACACAATTATAGAACAATAGGTTGCGGTCACCGCTTGGTGTTTGACAGTTTAAATGCGACACTAACAAAATTATCTTAAAGATAATTTTTTTTTTAATAACTGTTATACTCAAAAAATACACTGAGTAAATAAAAATAAGGCTAAACAGTACATTAATGTTGAAACTACTTATTTATCAAATACCTACTTATTATCATAATTATATACTTATTCACAAATAGTTTTACAGACACCAGACTAAAGTCAAAAGGGAACTGACTTTTGAGTCAATATAACAGGTCAACAATATGTTGAATCTCATGTAAACAGAAAGTACTGGGTGAAATAGTACTGAGAATATATGTAAAAGACTTAATGATACATTGTCCGACTCTAGAATTAGAGATGAAAGAAATACAAAGAATTCTTGTGTTGATTATGTTATCTGCAGCAGATAGTGGAATCAATATAAATAGTATGATGCAATTTCAAGAATATTTATCAAATATTTTAAGAATTTTATTTATTTACTTGTTTTATTGGTATCTGGCGGTGGCAGAGTAAAATATGACAGTCACCATCCTTAGTCTTCCTGCGGGTGTCATGCAAAATGACATTATCTTTTCTACTATTCACATTATACATAACATGTACATGACTGCCTCATTAGCCCAGTGGTTGCAAGTTTGACTGCCAGGCAAGGGGTCTCGGGTTTGATCCCCGGGTTGGGCAAAGTATGGGTTTTTAAAAAAATCTCAGTAGTACCATGGAGTCTGGAAATCTACTCAGTATATGGCAATAGGCTCACCCCCTATTATATGAGACTCATAATATTAAATAAGTAGTGAAAAGTGGGTGTTACATTATACAGCGCAGTGCACAAGTGCAGTAATTTGCACCTCTACGTACCCCTTCGGAGATAAAAGGTGTGATGTTATGCTTAATTGTACTATCCACAGATATTACAGTTAGGTACCTACATAAATTCTACATAAAATTTTATCAGAAGAACATTTTAAATTTGTAATACCAAAACACAAACATAATTTTACTGTAAAAATAAAAGAAAAATAAATAAAAAACCTCACCTTCTTAGCTGGTAACGCTCTTCGTAATTTCTTCTTTCTACCATCCAGCAGGAGACCACTGAATTTCTCACTCTCCAACTCTGCTACCTCACCAACACCCACTCTATCACAAAATGTCACATGACCACAGTCCACTTCATCTTCTGCATCACACAGGCTGTCATCAGCCAGATTATTGACACTGTTAGACAACTGCGAAGCCGCCAATGAGGCATTTCCACAGCCAGAGTCACTCATGTCATCTGAATCACTGTCATACTCCTCAGAGTCACTGGAATCTCCAAACACATCATTTGATGTGTAGCAGCTGTCCGGTGAATCCTCAAACACGATAAAAGAGTCTTCTGATTCACAGTCCGATGTTCTACGTAACTTAGGAGCATCATTGAATACAATTTGGAAGGAATCCTCGCTTTCTGGTACAGAACCTGGGTTGAAACGTCCAGAGACTTCATCAAAGTAATCTTTCTCCGGTTCCGGTGTTGTACTGTCTTTATTGGCAGCACCAATCGATGGCGATTTTTTAGGGGCGACAATTTCATCAATGCAGATCTCATTTGCAAATTGCAAGTCGTCCAGGATGCTCTTCCGCATTTTAGACTTTATTCTCTTGTTGTCTTGCTGTTATCCTTTTATGTTGAAACACCGGCTCCCGGTTTAAAACACATTATACCCACCCGCAACTTTCAACAGACAAGAGCAGCTAAACTGTGCAGGCATGGCAGGACGCAACTGAAATAATAAATAATAATAAGTTTAGGGAGGACGCAGGTACGTATAGGGATGCTCGATGAACATCGATATTGAAAACAAAAACATCGATGGTTAGTTTTCATAGAGCAACACAGGCCACCGGCGGACCGGACCTGTTGAACGGACGTGTTGTTGTTTACGAATTGCAAACTCTTAACACAAACAGCAACTAAATTTCTCGGTGGTTCTATAAATTTCTGTCAGATGGTGCGATTCAGGTCACTCACACATGTAAAGATATTTTCGTTTTTTATTGGGTCTAATTCTCCTAGAAATACTGCTTTTTATATAAAATTTGGGCCATACGCGACCATAATACATTATAGAGTAACATTATGTTGCTTTCATTTTGCAGAAACTATTTATTTACGGAGATTTCTACACCTGAAAAATGTATGGCGAGGTATATCTAGGCATTCACATTAAGTTAGTATTGGATAATTAATATCGATATCGAACATCGATGTTGGGAATTCCATTGACATCGATGTTTTTGACCTACTTATTACGATACGATTTGGTTTCTTGAACCTTTTGTCCTTTACTTTGTGTTCGAATCGAACTTCTCGACTTTGGCTTTCGTAATTCGAATGTCAAATGATTTTCACTGGTTCAAATGATGGTTCAAATAAATCTATGCCTTCCATGATCTATTTTATTACCTATCTATGGTAATTTTTTGAATTGTCTATGTCTATGATTATACTCTGTGCTCATCATTTCCTCGTACCGGTGTATTTTACTTTGAAGTTTTTCTATATTTTATACCAATTTAGATTTAGGTACAGCGATTTCAATCTCCCATGGTTATGGGATTGCTCCGCCTCTTGTACACCAAAATCTACAATAGATACAACCATACAAAAGCCGAAAGACTGAAGTCGGTGCATCCCAGAGATGTTTTATTTAATTAGATAAGGAGAAACTCCTTCTGAAGTCGATTAAAAGAGCACCTTTGGTCAATGGTACTAGAGCATAGATATAAAAATAGTCCTAAAGGCACACACTTCCAGTAGTTCAGCCTCCAACGGATTTACACAGCAGAGTGCTTACTCCTGAAAGCAATCTCAATTGCAATACAATTTAAATTCAATAAAGAAAGAAGGAAAGAGAAAGAAAGAAAGAAAAAACATTTATTTGACAGTAGGCACGCACACAGATACAAAAAAAAATACAAAATTAAAAAAGAAAAGGACAAACAAATACACATATTTATATAGATATAATATTTTTATAGAGAATAAAATCTTACTAGGTAATTATTCACTGCCTCATTGGCCGAGTGGTCGCAAGTGCGACTACCGGGCTAGGGGTCTCGGGTTCGATTCCCGGGTCGGGCAAAGTATCACAGTAGTAGCACGGAGTCTTGAATTGTGCCCGGTATATGGCAATAAGCTCACTCCCTATTACATGGGACTCATAATATAAATAGTGAAAAGTGGGTGTTACATTGTACAGTGGCATAATGTACACCTCTGCCTACCAGTTCGGGGATAAAAGGTGTGATGTTAGGTTATGTGATTATTTAATATCAAAACTATACATTATACAACCCCTTTCGTAGATGTTAAAACAGCATTCAGAATCTATACTTATAATAAATCTGTAGAGAGGTCAATTCTGTACATAAAATATATTTAAAAAATAACTATCAAGGGGTGGTTAGGGATCGCTACTGATGCCAAAAATGCAATCAGTAAAATTTTTGTCTGTCTGTCTGTCTGTCTGTATGTTCGTTATGGAAATAAAAACTACTCGACGGATTTTAACGAAATTTGGCACAATTATTCTTCATACTCTTGGGCAGGTTATAGTATACTTTTCATTACGCTACGATTAATAGGAGCAGAGCAGTGAAGGGAAATATTGGGAAAACGGGAGAAGTTACTCCATTTTTTAAGCTTCCGTCGCGTGTGCAGGCTTAATAGTTAAAGCTACATAGAAATCATGTATGACGGAAATGTTCTACATAAAATTATCTAAATAATATCCCACAACAGCACATGTCTATCTTTTATGGTTGACTTACAATAACACGTGTAACTCCCGATAGCTTAGCAGTTCGGAGCTTTCTGCTTATATTTGTTTACTCTTACGTTTACAATACTCATCCATAGACTTTATGCTGTAACTGTAAGGCCGATGCCTGAAATTAGCTTGACTCGATATTATAAATGTGAAAATATGTGAGCTTATGTGTTTGTGTATGTTTGTTACTCAGTCATATTAAAACGACTGAAGGGACCGGAATGAAATTCGGAACAGAGGTAGAGTATGGTGTGAAGTAATACATTAGCATTTTCCCCCTGGTATCGCGGGCGAAGCCGCTGGCAGAAACTAGTATGGAATATAAATCAAGATTCCTTCATCTGTTGAGCAGTGCAAGACACGTCTCGACGCGTACTTTGCGCTGGCGATCATTGAGTTCGTGCGGTACCCATTCGCTAAACTGATTTAAGTACCTTATTAATTATTTTTTATTTATGGCAAAACCCGGTAAACGATCTGACGGATCATCTGATAGGCTGATAGTAAGCAATCGGCGTCGCCCATAGACACCTGGAACACCAGAGGCGTTACAAGTGCGTTAGTTGCTTTTGGGGATTAGGAGTTTGAGGATCGTTGGGGATTCAGGAATTGGGAGATTGGGGAAGGGGAGGGGGGTAATTGGGCCTTCAGTAACCTCATTCACACGACGAAACACAAGGCAAGGGGCTCGGATTCGATTCCCGGATCGGGCAAAATACTACTGGGTTTTAAAAAAATCTCAGTGGTTGCACAGAGTCTGGAATTGTGCCCGGTATATGACAATAGACCCCCTATTACATGGGACTCATAACATAAATAGTGAAAAGTAAATATGTCAGTTACAGTAATTGGACTTTCTGCCGTTGTGACTGTTTAATAATAGAGGTAAATGACGTGATTGCGACTATTATTGTTCGAAATTACATACGTACATGACAACAATAGTTTATTAAATTCGAACGAGTAGTTTCTTAGATTAGTGCGTTTAGACAAAATATTCAGTTTTGTAATAATATCACGCCTTTTATTTCCAAAGCAGTAGGCAGAGGTGTACATTACGGCTCTTAATGCCACTGTACAATGTAACACCCACTTTTTACTATCTATGTTATAGGTACTAACGAATACCGCCCCGGCTTCGCACGGGTGCAATATGCATGTATTATATGTACATATAAATCTTCCTTAAGAATCACTCTATCTATTAAAAAAACCGCATCAAAATCCGTTGCGTACTTTTAAAGCATACATAGGGACAGACAGACGCGTGGGCTGAGCACCGCCGTGTCCTCAGGGAAGTGATCGGCGATGGCGACCTCTCGCGTCCGGGCCTAGTGCAGGCCATGATGCGGAGCGAGGGGGATTGGGATGCCGTCTCCTCCTTTTGCGAAGCAGTCATGCTAGCTAAGGACGAGGCGGGACGCGTGAGGCAGCGAAGCGCTGCCTCCTCGCAACCCAGCCATCGCGAAGGACACACCGGGCGTCGGGGATCGCGGGACGATCTCCGGCCACCGTAAGCGCGGGCCTGCGGACGGCGAGCATGGGTGGCTCCCCGTCCGACCAGAAACAGACCCGAGCGTACGGCGCGTCGCGTTCCGCGCGCGCCTCAAAGAGCCATCAGACCACCACAGATGGGGCCCAATAGGGCCGATGCCGATTCGGAGTCGCGGAGAACCTAACGGGTAACCGGGGCTCCGGCTCGACGTGCAGGAGAAGGAACGGGGTGGTTTTTAGTCAGTAAGAGTCTGACACTCCCTCCCGCCTCACCCAGGCGGGAGCAGTCATTCGATGATTTTACCCCTTAAAAAAAAAGGGACAGACAGACGGCGGATAGCGACTTTGTTTTATACTATGTATTGATAGTGAAGTCCCATGTAATAGGTAGGGGGTGAGCCTATTGCCATATACCGGGCACAATTTCAGACTCCGTGCTACTACTGAGAATATTTAAAAACCCAGTAATACATTTACATTGCCCGACCCGGGAATCGAACCCGAGACCCCTTGCCCGGCTTTCGCACTTACGACCACTCGGCCAACGAGGCAGTCTTGTAAAGAATTAGATATAAGAAACCCAGTGTTTAGTTCAGTTCAGTGTTCCGGTGCTGTATCTACTGTAGATCCTGGCTTACAGGAGTTGCAGCGGTTTTGGGAGGTTGGCCGAGCTTATCCCATTTAAACTGTCAAACACCAAGCGGTCACCGGTGACCGCAACCTATTGTTCTATAATTATGTCAATAATGACGGTACTCAACGAGTTAATTGTGTCTATAATGACGGTACTCAACGAGTTAATTGTGTCTATAATGACGGTACTCGACGAGTTAAAAGACGAATTTGTCAATAGTTTACAATTTTCTTTGATATGCCTCTAAATTTCGCCAGTTTATGTATTTTTTAATATTAACTTAACCTTTAGGGCGTGTGGTCGAAATGTCTGTTAAGTGACCCACACACGTGTTTTACACGAAAATTATTCCGAGTCGACTTAAATTAATTAATTTTAAAACGTTATAGTTAGAGTACACATGGCACAGATCAAGCTAAACAAAACCAATATAAACTTACATACATACATAACTTCACGCCTGTCTCCCATGGGGGTAGGCAGAGACTAAGGAACGCCAATTACTACGATTCTTACATACCTCTTTCGCTTCATTAACAGTAATCAATCTTTTCATGCATGCTCGTCGGTTAAGGGTACTTTTAATTTGGCCCTTCTTTAATATATCGCCAATCTGGTCACTATATGTCCGTCTAGGGCGCCCTCTACCGACGGCCTCATTCATATCCGCTCTGTATACTTCTTTCGTTACTCTACTTTCATCCATCCTTTCTACATGTCCAAAACCAATATAAACTGACCTTTGAATATGCGGAGAGATCGTACAAAGCGGGATCAGATATATTGGTTTATTATAAAAAAAATTTATGGAATAGGAGGTAAATGAGCAGACGGATCACCTGATGGTAAGCGATCAGCGCCGCCCATGGACATCTGGAACACTAGAGGAGTCACAAGTGCGTTGCCGGCCTTTTAAAAAGGAGTACGCTCTTTTCTTGAAGGTTTGAAGGTCGTATCGGTTCGGAAATACCGCCGACGACAGATCATTCCACAGTTTTGCTGTACGAGGCAGAAAGCTACGTGAGAAGCGCACACTTGTGGCCCGCCAATCATCTATATGATGGGGATGCATATACTGTCGTGATCGATAGCGAAAAACTCCTTCTCTTATTCCATAAAAAAAATCATGAATTTTTACGATAGGGTGGCTAACGAGCAGACGGATCACCTGATGGTAAGCAATCAGCGCCGACCATGGATACTCGCGACGCTAGAGGTGTTACATGAAGAGTATACTCGCCTGTCTCCCATGCCCACCCCCATGGGAGACAGGCGTGAAGTTATGTATGTATGTATACTTCTTGGTACTCAACCAATCACTTTGAGACATGAAGAAGATCAGAGGATTAACTTATGTCCTTGTCCCGATCTGAAGCTGCGAACGATATTGCTGGTTACCGTGGCTCCGTCTCCGAAGCAGGAGTAGATACGGGGTGGTGTTTAGTCAGTGTCAGTAAGAATCTGACACTCTCTTTCGCCACACCCAAGACGGGAGAAGTCATTATAATAACTATCGTGAGACATACTAAATTATCTAAAAATCGCGGGTTACGCACGTGAATATACTGAGAAAAGCTCTACTAGTTTCGAACCACAGAAGGGTTCTTCCGCATGAGCAGCGTGCGCGGTCGCGGCGATGTCGCGCAGCCTATTTTACAGCGTAGACTACCCCTCTGTGGTTCGAAACTAGTAGAGTTTTTCTCAGTATATTCACGTGAGTAACCCGCGATTTTTAGGTAACGGGAGAAGTCATTTGATGATTAATTAAGTCATAGGTTGTAACGTCCTATCCTAGTTAGTGATTTCCACTTCGAAATAATCATAGTGCTTTAACAATTTAGAAAAATCTTGTTAAAATAACCATAGATAGGTATACATAACTGACAACTGCTTTCACATCTGACAGTTTGAAAAAATCACCAAAAATATCAAAAAAAATTCACGTTAAAATTTTTCGAAAGTGCAAACTGTAGGTATACAAACAAATTTTTGTTTTAAAAAAACCATTTTCATTTAAAATCTTCATTAGAAAGAGTCACAAAAGAGTTAAAATTTAAAAGTGACTTTTTAAAATCATACATTTTTTTTTATGTAAACGTAAAGTTTTTTTTAGCAAAAATTTCTTCGAAATTATATTCTTTGCGTTATCGATGCAACGATGTACCGTTCTTGGGCACACGGATTTTTGACTGCCAGAGGCAATTATTTCCTCTACAGTCGGCCAGGTCTTCACATCGGGCGAGGAACTTTAAAAAAGTAACTCATTGCGTATTTGACATGGACGGCACCCTTATCGGTAAGTAAGAAAACAAATAAATAAGAAGTTAGTCATCCTTGTTGACTGGACATCTACACTACATGAGCTGCTGTTTACATGTGAACATTAGCTCATGACGATACCTAAGTACGTGTGTCGCCTGGACAGTCAACCTCGCTACATCCTTGTTGACTGGACATCTACACTACATGAGCTGCTGTTTACATGTGAACATTAGCTCATGACGATACCTAAGTACGTGTGTCGCCTGGACAGTCAACCTCGCTACATCCTTGTTGACTGGACATCTACACTACATGAGCTGCTGTTTACATGTGAACATTAGCTCATGACGATACCTAAGTACGTGTGTCGCCTGGACAGTCAACCTCGCTACATCCTTGTTGACTGGACATCTACACTACATGAGCTACTGTTTACATGTGAACATTAGCTCATGACGATACCTAAGTACGTGTGTCGCCTGGACAGTCAACCTCGCTACATCCTTGTTGACTGGACATCTACACTACATGAGCTGCTGTTTACATGTGAACATTAGCTCATGACGATACCTAAGTACGTGTGTCGCCTGGACAGTCAACCTCGCTACATCCTTGTTGACTGGACATCTACACTACATGAGCTGCTGTTTACATGTGAACATTAGCTCATGACGATACCTAAGTACGTGTGTCGCCTGGACAGTCAACCTCGCTACATCCTTGTTGACTGGACATCTACACTACATGAGCTGCTGTTTACATGTGAACATTAGCTCATGACGATACCTAAGTACGTGTGTCGCCTGGACAGTCAACCTCGCTACATCCTTGTTGACTGGACATCTACACTACATGAGCTGCTGTTTACATGTGAACATTAGCTCATGACGATACCTAAGTACGTGTGTCGCCTGGACAGTCAACCTCGCTACATCCTTGTTGACTGGACATCTACACTACATGAGCTGCTGTTTACATGTGAACATTAGCTCATGACGATACCTAAGTACGTGTGTCGCCTGGACAGTCAACCTCGCTACATCCTTGTTGACTGGACATCTACACTACATGAGCTGCTGTTTACATGTGAACATTAGCTCATGACGATACCTAAGTACGTGTGTCGCCTGGACAGTCAACCTCGCTACATCCTTGTTGACTGGACATCTACACTACATGAGCTGCTGTTTACATGTGAACATTTGCGCATGACGATACTACCACCTACAAATGTTTGACCTGTATTCTAATAAGTGATGTAATTACCTGTATGTATTATGTGTATGTGACGTAAAAAATGCTACCTAGACAATCTTAGGAAGTCTAAGTAATACCTTGAAGCTTTGATTTTAAAACTGTATATTTTAATAATTCATTATTTGAACTTTGCAGGCAAAATTACATAAGTCAAATTGGGTTTCACGATTATTTTAACTATGCTTATGTAGCTTCCTATTTATTTTTTATCTGGAAATTATTTATTTAACTCGTCGAGTACCGGTTTTGTAGACACAATTATAGAACAATAGGTTGCGGTCACCGGTGACCGCTTGGTGTTTGACAGTTTAATGCTAACAACTACCATTACAGACAATTCCAAAACGACAGTGTATGTCAGTCTTACAGATAACATAACGTAACATTACGCCTTTTGTCCCCGAAGGGGAGGTGCACATTATGCCGCTGTATAATGTAACACCCACTTTTCACTATTTATGTCATGAGTCCCATGTAGTAGGGGGTGAGGCTATTGCTATATACCGGGCACAATTCCAGACTCCGTGCTACTACTGAGAATTTTTTAAACACCCAGTAATACTCTGCCCGACCCGGGAATCGAACCCGAGACCCCTTGCCCGGCAGTCGCACTTGCGACCACTCGGCCATCGAGCCAGTCTTACAGATACTTACTATATCTTATAATATTAAATTCGAATTTACGATTTAATGACTTATCAAATTTAAATTAATATTGCCACCAGTCGATGACCAAACATCGACCACGGCAAACGAGCAGACAGATCGCCTGATGGTAAGCAATCACCGGCTCACCGCCACCCATGGACACTCGCAACATCAAAGAAGATACACGTGCTTTGCCGGCCTATTGCGGGCCCTCCGATAATCCCACTGACTTAGTACTATCGTTCTTTTACGTCGGTTTTCTGTGAGGCTCTGGTATCAATCCACTACACTCAAGTCTCCTACGTGTAAACGCGTTGGTAGTTTTGTTAGGGGGAGGAAGTCATCCAATGACTTCTCTCGCCGTGGGTGAAGCGAGAGGGAGTGTCAGGCTCTTATTGTCTAAACACCACCCCGTTGCCACTCCTGCATAGAGCCGGAGCCCCGGTAACCCGTTTGGTTGGCCGCAGTTCCAGCTTTAACATGTTAATTTTGGCCGCAGATTCGGAGTCACAGTACGCTGTGATGCTGAAGGAGATCTGTGCTAGACATGGCAAGAAGTACACGCCGGATTTGGAAGCAAAAGTGATTTTAAATTACCTCTAATTTCTCTTTTTCTCTTTTTTTAATTTTCGTCTAACTTTTGGTAGCGGCTTCACCCGTAGGTTTAGCGGTTTCGCCCGCTAGTTTTTATTCCACAGGACCGCTCCTGTCGAATAAAAACTAGCCTATGTGTTATTCCAAACCATAATCTATCCCCGTTCCAAATATCATGCCAATCTCTTCATGGCACCGCATCAAAATCTTGTATTCCCAAAATCTTCTTTGTTTCTGTTTCCTGTATCTCCTAAGCAATAACAGAAGTGCACGCTTCTTTTTACGATCCATGTCTCGTCCTAGTTTTCAATTCAAAATACGTTTAGTACGGTTGACGATCGTCGAAGGAATGGTCACCCTGTGAGACGCCTTGTCGGACGAAATCGCATCGCAGCAATTCGTATTGTAATTTTCTGCGTTGCGAAATCAAATTGCATCGGGACGTACTGACAAACAATTAGTGAGTCATACGAATAATTATTCTGTGCAGAAATTAAATCTGTAATATCTACCGTGAAGTCTGATTCGTAGATTTCAGATTCCATTGTATCAGACAAAGAACTTTGCATATTTCGATAGTATCTTATCTACGTAACATATATACCTAAGTATGTTGGGTATTGAATATTGTCCTTACATTTCAGTACACGGGAGGTACGGACCAAGAGATCTGCACAGGTTTGGTAAAGGACCTGCATATGAACTGCACAGCAGATCAGTTGGAGTCTGAACTACGAGAGCTATGTCGGGTAAAGCTGCCTCTAGCCCCATTGACCAAAGGTAGCTATAACATATTTTTTTATTCGACTTCTGAAAGGGTCGTACACAAAACTGCGATGCGATGCGATGCGATGCGAATTCGCAACGCAAAAAATTACGATGCGCATTGCTGCGATGCGATTTTATGCGACAAGGAGTCTCCCAGGGTGACCATTCCTTCGACGACCGTCAACCGTACTAAACGTATTTTAAATTGAAAACTAGATCGTGACATGGATCGTTAAAAAGTGTGCACTTCTGTTATTGCTTAGGAGATACAGGAAAAAGAAACAAAGAAGATTTTGGGAAGACAAGATTTTGATGCGCGATGCGAATCAATTCGCAAGTTCTTGCGATGCGTAGAGGGAGCTCGCAAATATTTGCGATGCGACGTCTGCATCACAGTTTTGTGTACGAACCCTAAAGAAGAAGGTTGTTCCCGATAAAAAATGTCTCTGTGATGCACCGGACTTCAGTGTTTCAGTGTTTGCATGGTTGTATCTACTGTAGATCCTGGCTTACAGGAGTTGCAGCGGTTTTGGGAGACTGTGGTGGGTTTGTCCCATTGAAAAATATACCATAGGAACTAGCTTCTGCCCGCGACTTCGTACGCGTTCCCGTGTTAAAAAGTATCCTATAAATTATTCCAGGCCATAATCCAAACCCGGGAGCTTACTCTTGAATCCAATTCCGATCGATCGACATTGGTATTGTGAAATTTCGTACTCTTGAGTTGCAACACTAGCGCCCATTGCATCCGTATTGCGTGGATATTGAATGAACTAAATGGTATTGAGTTTAGCTTTATATTCCGTGCTCTGAATGCTATTTTAACAGCTGCATTATGGGTTGTATAGTTTTGATATTGAATAATTATTGGGTTTTTATTGAATTGAAATTGCATTGACATTGAGATTGGTTTCAAGTGTAAGCACCCAGTTCCAAATTTCACTTCGATCCCTGCAGTCGTTTTGACGTTATTGCGCACTGAACTTTGATACTATTAGTAAGATTAATTATTATTTCAGGGGCTGAAAGATTGCTGAAGCATCTCCGCGCTAGTGGCATTTTGTTCGCTTTAGCTACAAACTCCACGCGACAGTCTGTACGCCTCCACATCCATGCTAAGCCTAAACTATTCGCTATGTTCCATCACATGGTAAGTTCTTGTGAGACAACCTAAATTAATAAAGATTTTAAGTGTGGGAGAGCCATGCTTCGGCACAAATGGGCCGGCTCGACCGGAGTGATAACACCAACGAGCAGAAAACCGACGTGACGCTTGCGTTGTGTTTCGTCGTGTGAGTGAGGTTAGTGGAGGCCCAATTATCCCCCGAATCTCCCCAATCCCTGAATGCCCAACAATCTTCAAACTCCTAATACCCAAAAGTCCATGGGCGGCGCCGATTGCTTACCATCAGGTGATTCGTCTGCTCGTTTACAAGGTTATCCCATAAAAAAATAACTTGCGTGAACTAAGGAAAGCTCTGCTAGTATTATATCACCTCGTCATCAGCCTATAGGTGCCTACTGCTGAACAAAGGCCTAACGGAGAAGATTGATCATTCAAGCCAAGGATACTACAGGAGACAAGCCATGACATGTATTGGGAACATGTCAAGCAATAGTGCATCTTTGCAGCCATCAGACCACCACGGATGGGGCCCAATAGGCCTAGAGTCGCGGAGAACCTAACGGGTTACCGGGGCTCCGGCTCGACGTGCAGGAGAAGGAACGGGGTGGTTTTTAGTCAGTAAGAGTCTGACACACTCTCCCGCCTGGGTGAGGCGGAAGAAGCGGTTCGATGATTTTCGCCCCTTACAAAAAAAACTCCCCTTGCCTTTATTGTTTCCTCACGATGTTTTCCTTCACCGTATACTAATGATATCTATAAATAGGTACCGACTTATCTCGGAAAGTTACAATGATGCTTGTCATGTTTCGAACCCGTACTTAAGAAGCGGGAGCATATAACTAAGTTTATTTGTTCAGGTTTGTGCCGGCGATCCTGAAGTGGACCGCGGGAAACCACACCCTGACATCTACCTGATGGCTGCGGCCAAATTTCCTGATAAACCGAAGCCGGTGAAGGTATGTATCATCAAACATTTTAGTCCTTAAAGGCGTAGACAGAGGATTGTCAAGGTATAAGGGCGGAAACACATAACCGCGTTGCGGCGCCGCGCGCTCGTTCCAGCATAGCAGAGTAATGTCTTCTTAATAACAAATAAGCAATAAGTTTTTCACGAGGGTCCATGGCAGAGACGCGTCAATCCACAATAAAATTCACGACAAACTGGTTAACCTACCGAACGACAACAAGACACTCTTTTTCACGACGACGCCGCGAGGCAAACTGCAAATTTTAGCGTTACGGCGACGCAACGCGGTTGTCCATGTCTGCTCATTTGCCTCCTAGTCCATAAAAAAACTGCTCGAGCAGTTCATGTACGTATGTACGTGGAATCTATAAATAGTTCAATATGCAGTTGCAGCTTAAAGTAGTCGATCCGAGTCTTGAAGTAGTGTTTAAGCACTAAGCTGTCTGCGTATGGCAGGCCTAAATGCCTGCGGCGTTAGGTCTACATAGTTGTGCATGTCGCTATCCGTCCTCTGGTGGTCTATGGGCATCCTCTACATAAGAGGGGTTACATTAATTTGCTAAGGGGTCTAAAAAGGTAAAATAGGGTGAAACATCACTACATAGTATAAAACAAAGTCGCTATCCGCCGTCTGTCTGTCCCTATGTATGCTTAGATCTTTAAAACTACACAACGGATTTTGATGCGGTTTTTTTAAATAGATAGAGTGATTCTTAAGGAACGTTTATATGTGTCGCAGAATCAACAAAGATGCACAACTATCGAGTATCGTTATTTTAGAACAACGCCATCTGTTATCATTTGTCGGAAACGTCAAGCAGTGTGCTTGGGTGATGGTCGGTACGGGGCGTGGCATGTTGGCATTTGAAAGGCGTCACTTTTGAGTCGGACACGAGGGTGAGCGGTTGTTCTGCCAGCCCGTACCGAACTTACCGCGTTTTCCGAAGTACTCCCAATGGGTGCATTTTCTCCGACATATGTATAATACATGCATATTGCACCCGTGCGAAGCCGGGGGGGGGGGGGGCCCTAGTATTAAATAAATAAATAAATGTTTTTTATTTCAGTGCCTCGTATTCGAAGATTCCGTGTGCGGCCTAGAGGCAGGACTTGCAGCAGGGATGCAGGTACACATTTCTAAAAAAACCAACATTGTTTTTAAAACTATTACATAACTTGGAATCGAACCCGAAACGCCTTGCCCGGCTGTCGCACATGTAACCACTCGGCCAACGAGACAGTCACAAAACAATTATTTAATTTTATTGATCCGTTTATCCAACAGGTTGTCATGACGCCTCCGAAGCATGTACCGCCGCACCAATACCGCAAGGCTACCCTAGTTTTGAAATCACTACAGGACTTCAGACCCGAATATTTTGGGCTCCCCCCATTTCAGGAGGACATTCATAAAAGACCAACGCTCTTATAAATTGAGATTGATATGGATTTAGGCAACGCCTAAGACCGATAGACCTTTTGCGCAAACTTACTGAGTTTTAAAGAATATTTCTCTACGCTGATTGGCTAAGGAACATGTTTGCGCAAGTAGCGCAATTTAGCGCAATTTAGCGCAAGTACTACAGCTGTTGAGGGTTTTTTGACGCTTGCCAAGATACTATTCTTTAGACGGTTTCATTAGTATTTATTTTTGAAATTAAAATCCTATTTGCGCAAAAATCAAAAGTATCGATTGAAAAGAGAAGTGTTGCCTCAATGAATAAATAATTAAAAGTTGTTAGCTTTGGATATTGGGGTTGCCACTTTGAAATATAATATGTTGGTGTTGCCGCGTTTTTGGTACAACGAAATTATCTACCTGATTGTAAGTAGGCCGCGAACAATGTACGTTTTAATTAAATATTTACCGATTAGAATCGTAGTTATCGGTTTCCAATTAATGCTAAATACTTTTTATTATTTTACTGTAGCCGACTCACTAATTAAATAAAATGTTCGAAGTCGGTTTTTCAAAATATATAACAAAGGTGATTTTTTATAATTATTTTACTCCCGATATTTAACGAAATAAATTTACTATTAAACATTTTTTGTTTGTATTTGTCATCTATACCAATATTTTTGATTTCCCTCGGGATTATCACAATTTTTTCGGGATAAAAAGTACCCTATTATTCATCCGACTTTACGTCTGCAAAATTTCAAAGCAATCGGTTTAGAAGTTACGGCTTGAAAGCGGAACAAACAAACAAACTCACTTTCCCATTTATAATAAATATTAAGGAAGGATTGAACCGATTTTGATGGGAATTTGTACTGAGATGGATGTGAAGCAAGTAGGTAAATATTTATCCAAAAAGCTCAGTAGACAGTATCTAAGGTATCTGGAAAAATACAAAAATATTTTCATTTTTCGCCGCCTAATTGTGTTCGTGGTATCAATTTTTGTCGTTTAAATACTTTTTTCTTCGACCTCATTGGTTAAAATGGTTACAAGTAAACAAGATGCAATAAAAATTTATCACCACCACTAGTCTTCCCGCGGGTGTCGTATACCCGACTAAGGGACTACACATTAGACAGAGACCGGGCAGCAGCGCTCTGATAAACCTGAACCTTTTATACTGCGATCTCCAACCTGCTTGCCTGCGGAGATTATGGCAAATCCCTCTTCTGTAGAGGAGTCACATAGTCCATAGTGCTAACAAATAAAAACACGAAAATAATAACTCAAGGTTTTAATCACTAAGAAACAATAAATAATCAAACAATAAATACACAAATCATTATATACTTACACGAGGTAAGCAGAGCTCTTACAAATAATAACAGTGTTTGTGCAAAATTATATAAATTTCACTATAGAAGTATTAAGCATATAGGTAAAATCCAGGAAACCAATTTCAATGTCAATTTAATTTCAATTCAAATAAAATCGCAATAATTATTCAATGTCAAAACTATACAAGCACAATCGTAGCTGTTACAATAGCATTCAGAGTACGGAATATAAAGTCAAACTCAATACCATTTAGTTCATTTAATATCCACGCAATACGGATGTAATGGGCGCTAGTGTTGCAACTCAAGAGTACGATATTTCACAATATCAATGTTGATCGATTGGAATTGGATTTAACTCGTCGAGTACCGGTTTTATAGACACAATTATAGAACAATAGGTTGCGGTCACCGGTGACCGCTTGGTGTTTGACAGTTTAAGAGCAAGTCTCCAGATTATTTTTAAGGCCGATCTGACTCGCTTGTAATACGAAGGGCAAACGTTACAAACTAGTCAGACACTTTTGGACTGGCTTTTAGATTTTTTTTTATGGGACAAGCCCGCCACAACCTTCCAAAACCGCTACAACTCCTGTAAGCCAGGATCTACAGTAGATACAACCATGCAAACACCGGAACACTGATATCCAACGTCCCAGATACGTGAATAACTGTCTTGGTTCCCGCAATGAAGTGAATCAGAAGATATTATAAGAGGAGAAGAAAAAAACGATTATTTCCGCTTCCCTCGGTGAATTACTGCAGGAGACAGAATGAGTTTGGAGTTTTTTTTTTGGAGTTGGACTGGCCTTATTAGACTTAGACCCCTCTTATGTCGCGGAGAACCTGAGAACGGGTAAGGAACGGGGTGGTTTTTAGTCAGTAAGAGTCTGACACTCTCCCGCCTCACCCAGGTGGGGGCAGTCATTCGATGTTTTCCCTCCCTAAAAAAAGACCCCTCTTATGTAGAGGAGGTTCATTGGACTGTTAAGGACTGTTGATAATAATGATCTATGTTCAGATACCCTTTGAATAGGTAGAATTTTGACATAATCCAGGATAGACCGGCAAACGAGCAGACGGATCACCTCATGGTAAGCAATCGGCGTCGCTCATGGACATATGGAACACTAGAGGAGTTACGAACGCGTTGGCTTGTCCGGTGTTTTCATGGTTGTATCTATTGTAGATCCTGGCTTACAGGAGTTGTAGCAGTGCTGGGAGGCTGTGGCAGGCTTGTCCCATTTAAAAAAAAAGCGTAGGCTGTTTGAAGGTGAGTTTATTGCCATTAAGTAACGATGGAATGTCTTGGTCGCTTCTTCATTCGAACCTGCAATTTGGAACGAGGGCCTAGCTTCACTGACAGAGAGATGGATGGATTCAATTTTGACATTTTCAAAAGTGAAGTTTTTAATAAGGATTAATAGAAATAAATGCTTTGATATATCGGGCATAATAGGGTAGTAGACAGTGTATGAAAATTAAAAATCTAATTAGCCCGTCAGTTGGATAATGAAAGTATTAGACACGTATTTTTTTATTTTGTCGTATAAGAAAACAGTAATTAGATAAAACGGAGTTAAGTTTAGGAGTGGGAGGTCGTTACGACACGCTACCCTATAAAATGTAGTATACCGTGACGTCACACATATTTCACATCAATATATCGTCGAAAGTATTTAATTTTGTTAGAAAATAAAAAATACGTGTCTAATGTTTTAAAATAATCTACTAGACGGACATTAAAATAAAATTTAGGATACTACCCTATTTGGTAGACAATTAAAATAACTGTTTAAATGTGACTAAAAATTAATATAATAACAATAATTATGCTTTTTACTTCTATACTTCTTAATTAGGAACCAAATTGTCGTTAGACATATTTTCTTTTTTTAACCAACACCGTATAATCCCGGAATCTGTACTATCACTGAGAATTTTTCAAAAATAACTGTCCGAGGTTTGAACCTGACTTCGTTAACGGTAGTCGTGTTTGCAAACACTAGACCATAGGAGACATATTGTGAAATACATATTTTTATTTAATTTGATTATCATAATAGTAATTTAGCCACCATCGATATTTGGATGGGATATTTAGTGCCTAATGGAGGCACTTGTATTTTTGATCACTAGCGCTAGTGTGCGCCTCTCGTTCGTCCAATAGGGTAGTCTTACACCATTGGACGATCCATATGACAGCTGCTTTGTGATTGGACAAAAATACTTCGTGCTATAAGTCGCACGACGCCGGCACGGATCTTTAGCGCTGACCTTCACTTGCGCAGAAGTCAAATATCGAGCTTATTTAGTAGTATGAAGTGAGATGCGAAGGGAGCGTCAGTGATTGGTTCGCCGCGTCATCGCGTCATAGACGTCACTCGTGATTCGTTCCCGGTGCTCGCTAATACGACGACGATTGGCTCTACGCTATTGTATGGAATGCGCAAAGCGATCCCCACTATGACACCGAGCGTTGAAGATTCGTCCCGGCACTAATACATTTGCACCATTTAGTGACCAGAGAGTAGAAAACTAAATGTATGGGGATGACACTGGCAAGTGTCAAAATTTACGTCAATTCCATATAATTTGGTTTTCTATTCTACATGTAGACAAGCGCTAAATGGCATTTGGCTACAGCTTCTGGTCTCAGCCGCCGTAACCGATGTTAGGCATATCCCAAACATTTACATAATTTATTGTTCTTTTAAAAATGTTACTAAAGCATTTTCTATTAACTTAATTTAACACATAGTAAAGATTTTGTCAATAAAACGACTTCAGGCTTCAATTAAGATTATTACGATCCTAGAGCCAAACTTCAGACATGATTTAAGACTCAATATAATAGAGAAATTTCAGAATCGAGTTATGTAATAATTACTTGGACTAGGAATCGAAGCAGACACTTATAGCTCAACAGTCGAACTTATAACCAGTCGATCAATGAAGTAGCTAATCATTCACATCACATCAACAGCCTATAAGTGGCTACAGCTGACCAAAGGCCTCTTCTCACATGGAGAAGGTTTGAGCATTAACCACCACGCTGGCTCAATGCGGGTTGGAGATTTCAAACCTATAATTAGATATTATAAGCCCAGGTTTCCTCACGATGTTTTCCTTCACAGTTTGTCAGTGGTGTCTGAATAATCTTAAAAAGTACATATAACTCGGAAGTCACATTGGTATTTGCCAGAGAACAGACGATCATTACTACATGTTAAATCAAATTTTTGGCACTCAAAGAGCCGATTCAAAATTTCGATATTTTTGCTCATAATCCCTAATGTTAAAATTCGTCACCCAATTATTTAAAATCCTACATACAGTATAAAAATGCATAAGTTTTTTTCAATTTTATATAATTCATACATATCTTCATACATTTTAAAAACTATTGTGGGTTAAAGTATTTAAAAATGAATTTTTGGTTGTTTCAAAAAACTTAATTTTGTCGATCGATGGATGAATGTGATGGTAGCTAAAGAAGTATGTAAGGAGGGTAGTAGGTGGCGCTCTGCAGTTTCTGTATACCATCAGATGTATGAATGTGATGGAAGCTAAAGAAGTATGTAAGGAGCGTAGTAGGTGGCGCTCTGTAGTTTCTGTATACCATCAGATGTATGAACGTGATGGAAGCTAAAGAAGTATGTAAGGAGCGTAGTAGGTGGCGCTCTGTAGTTTCTGTATACCATCACATTCATACATCTGATGGTATACAGAGAAGTATGTAAGGAGCGTAGTAGGTGGCGCTCTGTAGTTTCTGTATACCATCAGATGTATGAATGTGATGGAAGCTAAAGAAGTATGTAAGGAGCGTAGTAGGTGGCGCTCTGTAGTTTCTGTATACCATCAGATGTATGAATGTGATGGAAGCTAAAGAAGTATGTAAGGAGCGTAGTAGGTGGCGCTCTGTAGTTTCTGTATACCATCAGATGTATGAATGTGATGGAAGCTAAAGAAGTATGTAAGGAGCGTAGTAGGTGGCGCTCTGTAGTTTCTGTATACCATCAGATGTATGAATGTGATGGAAGCTAAAGAAGTATGTAAGGAGCGTAGTAGGTGGCGCTCTGTAGTTTCTGTATACCATCAGATGTATGAATGTGATGGAAGCTAAAGAAGTATGTAAGGAGCGTAGTAGGTGGCGCTCTGTAGTTTCTGTATACCATCAGATGTATGAATGTGATGGAAGCTAAAGAAGTATGT